TAAGGTCATATGAGAGACTATTATACCTTTTCCAGAGTTCTCATTTTTTCCTTGACCAGGAGAATGCTACTTTGTGGGCTGGCAAATTTCTCAGGAATTGTCTGAAAACAAGATCCTAGTAGCCTAAGGGCTCATCTAGCTCTGAGCTTACAGAATTACTCTTTAATAATTAATGTAAATAAAAAAGTAAATGAAAGAAAAAGGGAGTTGGAAGTATACATAGTATCAGTTAAACTAAAGAAAACAGTCAAAAAGATAGGGAGGTAGACTAAGGGCAAGGAAGTTTCCTGATGTTTTAAATAGAAGCTCTCTGTATTGCTAATGCTTCTACTCTCCACAAAAACCTCAAGAAATTTAGAGACCTGCTCAATTCTCAAACCACTGAATGTTACAAAGACTACTGTAATGATGCAACCTATGGACTCTATAGCCTGGTAAACACCAAACTCCCTTGGACTTGACAGAGGAGGAAGAAAGAGATGTTTATTTATATTGTAATTACCAGTTTAATATATACTGAAATAACAATGAGCAAATACAGGTTAATATACACTCAACCATTCACTCTCAAATTACATAAACACTCTTTACTTGAGTAGATAGAAGGTATAATCTAGTTTTTGGAAATGCTTAGTGTTTAACGAAAAACACTTTTGCTTATATCATCTTGCTTAATACTATAAAAATCCTGTGAGTTAAGCATTTTGTAGATGAGAGAAGGTAAGAAGACTTACTTATAAAAACCCAGAGAAAAAGCAAAAGCAAATGTATATTTCCAAAAGCTTAAATTCACTAACCCCTAAACACCTGCCACTCTGGGAGCATGCAGTATGTGTATTTGTCACCCACTTGAGGATGTCTCTAATTAAAACAAAATCATACAAAAACACCATACTGGGTCTGTGGGGGCTATTAGGATGTTGAAAACTTGAACTTTTACATTTCCTGACTTGGCAAGACTAGGTGGTTGGGGGAACTGAGCTAAAATTTTATTTTAATGTTATCTCAAACCAGGTTTCTGCATTTTGAGTTCCTGGAAGATCAAAGAGGGAGATTCTTGAGGATTAAGGCCAAGACAAAAAGCTGACCTTTTTGGGCAGTTTGTAGCAACTGACTGTCAAGTGACAGCAGTCAGTTTCAAAGGTCACATATCTCTTATTAAGCATACCAGCCATAATTCCTGTTGGTTTAGAGATTTGTAGGGTAAGATTTAGAATACAAAATTATATATAAAGTTGGAATCATATTTTAAATTGATATATAAGTTTAAAACAATATGCAATATGGTCTTCCAGAATTTATTTTTTTCACTGAATAGAGGAACTCTTAGGCATCAGAAATGCAAGGTGGCTAGACTAAAGAGCTACTATTTCTAATTGTTTAGGTTCCCCAGAGCAGGCTTTACAAGTGACAGACATAATTTCTCTGGTTTTTGTTATACAGAACATTAAGAATATCTGTTTCCTGACCGTCCACATTGGATAATAATACAGAAAGTGAAGGTTCATTATTACCTCCTAATACTTGGTGAATAATAAATCCAGTGTACTCTAAATGATTAGATCACAGAGAGCCACAAATTCTGCCAAGCATTAACTTTAGGTTAATCTTTGATTATATCATGAAAACATTCTCACTGCTATCATTTGAGTGGGTCCCCTGCAAATTCATGTGTTGGAACCTTAATTACTTAGTATAGCAATGTTGGAAGGTGGGGCCTGGTAGGAGGTGTTTGGGTGATAGGGACAGCACCCTCAAGAATGCATTAATGCTTTTTTCACAGGAATGGGTTTTAGGTATCACAAAAGTCTGACCCTCTTTTTTCTTTTCTGAACATACTTGCTTGTCCTTCCTCCTTCTGCCATGTTATGAAAGCAACACAAGTCTTCACCAGCGATGGTGGCCCAATCTAGGATTTCCAGACTCCAGAACCATAAGCCAAAATAAACCTCTTTTCTGTATAAATTACCCAGTCTCAGATATTCTGTTATAACAATAGAAAACAGACCTAAGACTCTCATCATTAAAAAAAAATGCAATGCTTCCCAGTGGAACACTTAAAATAGGTAAAGCAAAATCAAGGTATTTGATAGGCTGTCTTTGAAAAAACCATAAACACTTCAAAGTTCCAAACTGAACTTCACAATCTCCACATAACTTCAATACAGTAATAACATTTAGAACTATAGATATTAGGGTGTCCAAAGCCTTCCCTATGCGTAAGCTCTGCAGTTACCAGTGGACTAACAGCAAAAGTTTCCCTAAAGAGCCATACAAGTTCCTATAAGCAAGACTCTCAGTTGTAGGCTGTCCAGCTTTCCCCACTTTGATGAATTATGGTCTTGACTTCCTTTTGCAGCCAAAACAGAAGTTGTACTACTGTTGGACTTCACAAGAAAGTGAACATATTCTCTGCCCTTCAGCTCCAAATATTGTGCTCCCACATTGCCCTGAGCCTCCTGAAGTAGGTAGATTCCAGTCACACTTTGATCCAGGTACAGGAAAAGGGTTAAGAGGAGAACCACCAGGCTTCACAGGACTGCTTTACATATTTGGGTTATAAAAGTGCTGATTTAACCTTATGAGTAGTCCTTAAAGCCCAGGGATGACTGTGTTTGAGCTAGTTTTGTTAGAATATTTGCACTGACCCATTAGACCCTGGAACTTAAAGAGGAAGCTGTTGTATCCTCTTGTCTCCTTTGTCTTTCCATACAAGCATATCTTCTGAGCAATGAATAGGCTTCCTGGGCACCAAAGCTTGTTATTTCAACAATCTTTTCTGTAACTCTCAAGATACGTTAATATACTTTAAGTAGAAACATACACTTATTTTTTAAAGTGCCTTGAGTTCATGGAGAATATATTTACATACATATGCTGATCTCAAATCTTAAAGGAAGGCATTTTTCCAATGGGAGAAATTGAGGTGTAGATGGGTTAAAATGACTGGCCTGAGATAAATGAAACTGGTTTTAGATCTTTGGACATCTGGGTCTATTCTTACTTGTCTAAACTGCAGAACCTTCAATGCTTAAATACGATCATTGTCTGGGACCTTGAAGATAGCGCTCAGCACCTAACAAAGTTGATATCCTGGGGCAGCAGGACAGTTGGGCATCTGCCCTGACAACTGATTGACCCTGAATAGGTTATAATTTGATTCTGTAGAATCAAATTTCTTATCACCTATTGACAAGTTCAGCAGTATGGCAAAATCTTGGTTCAAGATAAGAGTAAAACAACCATTCTAAAAATAATCACCAAAACATGGGCAGAAGAATGCTGTGGGCTTCGGAGAAAGGCAGTGGCTCACTTCCTTCCGTACAGACCAGGCCCTTCCAACCACTTCTGTTTCTTGACACGACTAGTAACCAGGGAAGTTCTTTAACACTTCTCCTCCTTCTAGGCTCAGCCTACTACTTTGTTTTCCTAGTAAAATCCCTCCTCCACTATCTTCAATATTAAAGGTTCACTTTTCTGTGAGCATCAAGAGTCAGTGTGGAAACTTCCTACCTACTGAGTCCTTTCCTGGTTGAACTCTATGCCACCTGTTTGCTGCCCTGACACCTCACCCTTCCCCACGTCAACCTGTCTGACTCTAGCCCTGTATTTTCTTCAAACAGGTAGATCTCACAAAATTCTTATATATTTTTTTGCTCTTCTATAGTGAAAACTCAAGGTGGAATGATGTTCCAGCCTCTGAAGACTTTCAGAAAGGCCAGTCACTTTGGACAGGTAACACAAGTACGTGTTCTATACTACTGATATGTAGGATATGCATGCATTAGCACTCAGGAGCTAAAAGGGATGAATTCTAACAAGGTTGTGAACCCCTCAAACTCCCAAACACGACCAGAGCTTATAACTTTCCTTAAAATGCAACAGTATGTAATTCATTGTGCATTTGACCTCCAATGTCTGGCACTGGGCCAGTCTGAGAATCAGTGCCTGGGTTCTCTCTTAGCCATGCTTGCTTGGCATGGCTAAGAACTTCTGTACCCAGCCTGTCATCCTGCAAGGGAAACATCCATGCTTCAGGATACTATACTCTATTGCCTGCCAAGTCTTTTCTGGGGTCAGTTCTGGGCAGCCAAGGGTTAATGTTACAGCCATAACTGCTGTGGGTCTCTGGAGCCCTGCCCCTTCCCTGTGGAAGCCTGATATTACTACTCCTTACGTGACTATTGTTATCTGGAAAGGGTCGCAATTGTGAATCTTTCTTTATAGGTATAAACAGGGTCAAAATGACATCAAAGATTTCCTCAGCTGTAAAGAAATAGAGGACTGGATTTTCCTAAATTGGAAAGATCTATTCACCCAACTTGGATTGGCTTTAGATGTATGCTATTCCACATGGTGGCTACTATCCCATGTGGCTATTGAGCACTTGAAATGAAGCTAGTTCAAGATGAGATGAACTGTTAATGTAAAAGAGCATATCAGAGGCTTGAGACCAAGTACAATAAAATAATACAAAAATATCTCATAAACTTTTTGTACTGAGAACATATTAAAATGCTCACATTTCAGATAGATTGAGTTAATTAAAATATATTATTAGAATTAATGTTGCCTATGTCTTTTTGCTTTTTAAAATATGGTTTCTGGGAAGTTTAAAATCACTCATGTGGCTTGCATTTGTGATCCAGTGGCTCACATTTGATTTCTATTGGACAGCTCTGCTCCAGGCAAAACTCCTAACTTTGAAAGTTTATTTTTTATTGGTGCATTACAATTACATATAATACCAGGGGTTTGCTTTTAGAGAAAAGACGAATGTACTGAAGATCTGGTTTCAGGTATCCTTTTTAAAAATTAGACCCTTCTTGTGGACATCTCATCCATAAAACAGTTAGCTAGAACTCTGCAGGCGGGCTTATTACTTCTTCTCTGGGACAAAGTTGTGTAGTTGGGCTCTCATAGTCCTTTACTTATTTGATTTTATAGCCCAGTATTCATTTTCAATATCTCCAGATAATACAGAAAAGTGAAAAACTTACAGGTTTTGAGATGGTGAATCTGCTGCTGGAATGCACAGGTATTTAACTCCCTGTAAAATGATAAAAAAAAATATATATATATATATAAATAAAAATGAAAATATTATAGTCACTGTATAAAAATATTTGAATAAACTATAACTATTTACTCAGCCAAAAAATAAAAAAAAATAAAAAGGAGAAGTTTTTCATTCATCTTTTGTTGCCAAGGAACTGGAGAAAAACTAATTAAAGTTCCTGGTTCTTTTCTGTGGTTTTGCCTATAAATATGGTCTAGTTTGCAAACAGCTTGTAGGTTTAGACAAAATTCAAAGGGCTTCAAAAAAGTGAAAACTGAGTACTTTTCAGTAAGTGTCAACAAGTTTCAAAATTATCATCTTACATACTAGTACACATATTCCACATTTCCTATATATGTCATTTAGGATCTCGAAAATCCAAAAAGGAAGCACTGTTAGTCAAAACTTTAGCACAATGGCTAAAAAGTGTAGTGTCATGTTATAGCTTTCTATGTTAATTTTAGTATCATGACAGCTACAATTTCACCAATAGGAGTTTTAGATCCTTGAAATAATCTGCTTTATTTTGCTTGTTTTCCAGAACAGTAACTTTGGGTACCAAACTAACATTTTTCTTTAAAAATAATGGCCTATTTTGAAACAAACACACAGATAAAAAAACAAATGAACTTCAACCCTATAAAATAAAAAAAAAGTTTATGTAAATTTGTACTATAAAAATCATGATAAATTTGAGGTTTATCAAAAGCCAGTCTCACCTCTCTGTCAGAGGGATTATTGATGTGACAGTTCAAGAGCTCTTTAATATCAAGTAAAAATATAAAATATAAAAATCTCAGTATTTTTTGCAGAAGAATATGTCTAAAGAGTTAGATGAATCATTTTTAAACCCTCCTCTTGTAATTGCCTAATCTCATAGAATATTGTCATGCATCTCAGAAAATAAGGGGAAAAACCAGAAATTAGAAAAATAACCAATAAAAGAGAATACACAAAGGACAGATATGTAGAATGGCGATATAGGCAACCCCAAGTTCCTCAGAAGACTGGTAATTTTTCATTGAACTCTCTTAACTCCTATCATTAGGAATTTATGTGCTGTATTTACTAATAATAGTCTTAGAAGGAACAATTTGATCCATACTTTGCTAGTTCCTTACAGTATGACTTTTCCAATACAGGGTGGGGAATTCCATTCCCTATCTCCCCTGATGCTTAGGATCAAGGCACACAATCAGTTTTCATTGATCTGACACACAGGAGATGGACTTGGAACTAGTGGGCTGCAGAGCTCATTGGGCTGCTGTGTGATAAGGTCTGGGATCCTTCTGGAACTTTAGTTTAGAGCCTGTTTCTTCAGCTCTGCTGAGCATTCCTTAAGCTTTCAACCATTTCTTAATAAACCCCTTCCTGCTAAAACTGGCTCATATTGGGATCTGCCCTGAGAGATGATGCAACCCCCTGCTTCCTATCTCCCACAATTAGGAGAGGTGAGAAAATAACTACCCCCCCCCCCATAGTTTCTACGTATGTTTTTTTCAGCTTTGAAGAAACAATCAAATAATTTAATCATGATTTGAAGATAAAAGCATTACCAATCATGTAGCCAATCATTATATATTTCAGTAAAGGCTTCCTGAGTTCTTGAAGAAGATGAATGTAACTGCTGCTTATCCAAATGGAAACATTTTATCTGAGATAAAATGGGCTTTTAGCTTGCCAAAGGTCGAACTTAATGATCAGTTGGCAGAAGAGGAAAGGGAAGTAGTAGATTACCCCTCTTTGTTTGTCACACTCCACACCCAGCCTCCTTCTGTCGCTGTCCTTATTTTTTCCTGGACTCTCTGGGGGGCTGTGTTTTGCTGGGAATGTCTCACATTCTAAAGCCCCTCCAAACCCAGATTTGTATTATGCTGTGATCGAAGGGGCAAGGCTATTAAAAAGGAAATGCTACTGAAAGAAAAAAAAAAGTCATTTCACTCCTTACTTCCATAGAGGCCAAATAAGTGTATTGGTCTAGATATACACTCTGATCATTTTCTACAGCCACCATTGAAATGACTCACTGATTTTTTTTTTTTTTTAAGTGAGAGTTGGCAGTTGGATCCAATCCAGGAGCTTGTGAAATTCATTCCTCCCACACACTTCCTCCGACCTCCTTTCGGACCATACTTCCAGAAGGACAAGAGGATTCTCAAGTGTCCACCTCCCCTGCTACTGCCATCTGCAGTCTCAGCAACTTCAACAGAGAAAGGGCTCCAAAAGAATGCCCTGTAATAATGAAAATGCCTGCCTGTCCCAAATGTCAACAAACAACCACCTCATTCAAGTAGAATCTACAATCAGTCCAGTTTTGTATTGGGAGGAAAGAAATAATGAAGGAAAGAAGAAAATGGACTGAGGTAGGTTAAATAGCTCTTGCCTATTAAGATCAGTTACTGTAAATGCCAACAGCAGGGTGAGTAGAAAGCACTGTGCTTCTTTTAGGCACATTCCCTTAGTTGCTGCCTGGTATACCAAAGGACAAGACATTGGCCCCACAAAGCAGGAGAGCCCTGTCAGGGGGCAGGAGTATCTGCCAATCATAGGAAGATGACAAAAGGTATTATCCCTTGGGAGGCACAGAGGATGAGGAGGCAACTTTTGGCTGTGTTGGGCCCCTCACCTGCACAGCTGAGAAGAGCAAGTGACAGTTACAGCTTCCTATCTGTGCAACTTTGGAACAAAGTTTGGGGACCCGCTGCTGTTAAGGCAGGATGGAGAACATAAAACTAAAGATTGAGTTTTCTCAAAGACAGAATAACAAGAACAATAATAAACTTCCCTAGAATGATGCCTGACACATAGGTGTTCACTAAAGGTCTGCTGAGTCCTGAGACCAAGGTGAAAATCAATTCCCACAAAGATCACACTATGCGAATAGTTCTAGGGAAGAAAATACTGTCAAATACCCATTCCTTAATCCCTGGATCACAGAAATGGAAAAGCTGGGTTTGGGGACACACTAGGCAAGTAAAGGGCATGTTTTCTTTTCTTTTCTTTTTTGGTACTGGGGGTTGAACCCAGGGAGCTTAACCATAGCACCACATCCCCAACCGTTTTTATTTATGTTTTTAATTTTGAGACAGGGTCTTGCTAAGTTGCTGAGGCTAGCCTTGAATTTGTGAGCCTCCTGCCTCAGTCTCCCAAGATGCTGGGATTATAGGTTTGCAATACTGTGCTTGGCCAAAAGCATGTTTTCTATACACACACCAGTGACACTAGCCCACCTCCTGTGTACTCCAATGGGGATGTGAACCACTTCACTGTGATCTACAATAAGTATGCAAATTCAGCCACAGAAGGAGTCAAACTGTCAAAAAGGTTCAGCTGCTTGCTGCCCAAGAACATCTATTTATCTTGGCTTAGTCATTAACAAAGCAACATCTCTTGAAGGCCACAGACTACAGAACTCTACCTAAAAAAGGCATCAGATGCCTGCACATGTGCACAATTAATGACTGTTAGTTACTAATTCAGAAAGCAGCACACGGACCCCAGGACCATAAAAAAGCTGGACTCATTTAAAATTACCCTGGTACTAATGAGTGCAGTTGCACAAAAGTTTTCATGTGATGTGGAACAGCTATTTTTTTCTAATATGACTTATACAAAGGACTGCTCCCTGGTGGTGAAATTTGTAGAAAGACAATGAATAGGGGGTAGGATGTGTTTAGTTAAATTACAAAAATTACAGCAAACTCATGGATTAAAAAAATGTATGCAAACTTTAGAACAATCTGAAAACATTGGAATAAAAATAGCAATGTTTCCAGGGGCATAGCATTTGCTGCACATATTCACTTCCTTACATTACCTCTAAATATTTTTAAAAAACATAAAAATGAAATTGGTTATCTTCTCCCTTGAAATTAAAATTGTAAATAAATAAAAACTCAACACTTTCCATGAGGTTTCAAAAAAGTGAACTGGTAAAAGTCAACTAACATTAAATTTTTATGGCACTATCAGATGTCTTTATGGCTTTTCAATGCACAAGGCCTGTTTAGTATTGCACTAAATACAAAAAACAAGTTCGGTTAATAGAAAGAGCCCTGTTAATGCTCTAAGACTCTCATGATTCCTATGGTAGACAAAGAAAGAGCGGCAGATAATTTCTTTGGACTACATGGCCTTTTGAGTGGCTTAACATTTCCAGAGAACTCCAGCAATACTGATGAGGTGGGCACCAGAGGGAGAAAAAGGGGGAAGAATTTAAAAAAGTCGATACCTACTTCAAGGTAACCTCATTTTGTACTGAATATTCATTATACCAAAACATCACATCAATCAGTATGAAAACACACAGTATAAAAATTAGGAAAGCACTGAAAAGAAGTAAAAGGGGTAGGAGCTATTTGCCAAGGAAAGCTTTCTGACGACATTTTTGTGTTTAGGGTTTCAAAGACACAATAGACATCACTGGGCTGAGAAGAAGTTCAGAAAGTATTCTAGAAGCTCTATGTGAACCAAAGATCAAAGCTGTCCAAGTCCATGTTCTTTAAGCCTTTAATATTTTTCAGTTTTCTGTTTCAATGATTATAGTAACCACCAAAAGTAAAGTTCTGGTCCTTTCTTTGGGTCTGAAACTAAAGACTACACTTAAAACGATACACAGGAACAAACTTGAAAAGCAGGGCTGAGATTCTGATTGCAATACTAGAAAAGAGATCAAACTCTCGCTTGTTTCAAGTACAATTTCTAAAATTCACTGTTTCTCTCTTTATGAAACATCATAAGAGTCTTTTGAAGAATTCAGTTGATATTCTACTTTCAAAAAGAAAATCCAGCCCTCCCCCAGGAAGGCTAATTAAAGCCAGCTATGGAGTCAATCTTTGTCTCATCATTTGTAGCAATGTGGATGGAACTGGCAGACAATATATTGAGTGAAGTAAGTCAGGGGCAAGAAAAGGCCTGCATGATCTTACACATGGAAGCAAAGAGTAGAATAATAGTTCCCAGATCCTGGGAAAGATGTGGGGGAAGGGGTA